CTACCTGAGAACCAGCCTACTGCTGCTCCAGGCACTTTGGAATTCGCCTATAGATATGAGAGTCATATGCAGCAGGCAGTAGAACACATGCACAAAGCATAGGCGGCGATGATTGAATCTGAGAACAAGCACCACCGCCCATCTATGTTTGAGGTAGGGGACAAGGTCTGGGTCAAGGCTTTTGAACTGGGACAGGAACACGGGATGTCACGTAAGCTCATGCCACAGTACTTAGGGCCATGGTAGGTTTTGGATGTAGTTGGGGATGAACCGTGCGGACCCTCCTATGTCATTCGGATCCCTGGACACCTTCGCACTTTACCCTGTATTTCCTCCAATCTTGCACCATTCAAGGAAACTGACCAGTTCCCTTCGCGACGTTCAATGCTGCCCCCAACCATGGATGGAGAAGTCGACATTGATGAAATCGTGGATCATAGAGAGATGCCAGTTCCAAGACCGACCGGCAGGGGACCTCCTCCAAGACCGAAGCTGCAGTATCACGTTCGGTTCAGGCATCACACTGATCCTGAGGAGGATAGATGGTTTACACGGGAGGAATTGATGCAGACCGCTCCACTGGTTGTCGCCCACTTCGAGAAGTTACTGCAGAAAGGAAAGCGCCAGATTGACTAAACTTCTCAGAGGACCAGCGAAGTATGGAGGAGGGAATGCGAGGCACAAGGCCCTACTGGGTCCCTATTTGCAACAGGTTGGCCGCCCTAAGTGAAGGCAGGCTCAGTAGACGACAAGAGGCCTATTTTCGACTACTTCGCAATTGGGGGAAAATTCAGGCAGTTGCGCAGCGCCAGTTGGTTGAAGACGCCCGGGCCCTGGCCTCCTTTATCAAATGTATCTAAGTCAGGCCCTGGGTGAGATACACAGTATGGACCGAAAAAGGGTTGAGGGCAGTTGGGTGCTGATAACCACCACAGGCCCTGGGCCTGTTGCCTTTGGACTAAGGCTCAGCCTCGTGGGGCCTACCGGAAGCTTCTGGGCCGAGGCCCAGTACCGCATTACCGCACGCAGCAACAGGCCACTTGGATATAGGGAAGGGCCTGCCCACGCATTGGTCATTCGGGCACTGGCTGCATGCTGCGCAAGTGCTGCTGCGCTAACGCTGGCCAGCGCTCACGCTCTCACAGGCGAGCTGGAAGGAGCAGGCAGCCATAGCCGAGCTGCGCTGCTGTATGCTGGATGGGGCACATGGTGGTTCTTGGGTGCATGTGGCATCTGTGAGTTGGGGAATGAGGTTGTGAGTGATACGAGAGACACACCTGGTGCTTGAAGCGTACGGCAATGGTCGAGATCTGCTCGTACTTCGGGGAGCTGTTGACGTCATCGGCAGCATTGTAGACAAGCCAGATAGGATCTGCCATTTGTAGTTTGGGCGCCGAGCGCCAGATAGGATATCGACATTGGCTCTTCAGTGATGATGATGAGACTATTCCAGCATTGTCAATTATGAGCTTTTGCTGTGTTCTTATTTGGTGAAACTCGTGGTGCAATTCTGCTATTGGTTCGAGGTCACGACTAAACTCGTGGTGCAATTCTGCTATTGGTTTGAGGTCACGACTATCTGGTCTTATGTGTATGATGTTGTTTGAGTTCTGAAGTTCGCTATCGCTCATTTTCCTTGCACAGACTGCAAATGATGATAAAAGAATTCCGAAAATAAAATAAAATATATTCGGAATTACTCAGATGAGAGTACGCGCAGTTTGGAAAATGGTAACTGCAAGAGGGATTCCCCGTACCGTTTTTAAAAAAAAACGAATTTCGAAAAAAAAAAAAAAAAAATCCGGATTTCCAAATAACGAAAATTGCAAAAGGAAATCGAAATTTCAAATTTTCAAAAAATTATTCCGGATTTCCAACAACGAAATTTCGAATTTTCAGAAAAACGAAAACGGAAATTCCAGGTGTTGCGCTATTGCGATTTTCCACAACAGAAATAGCGGGAAAACAAAATCCAAGAAAAGGAAAAAAAAATCGATTTTCGGCAGTTAGGTCAAAATCGCGATTTTGGGGGCTAATTAGTGTGCTCTAATCAATCAATCAATCAATCAATTAAGACTAATAAACTAATTAGTCCCCACACACATGTCAGATCAGGTTGTCCTGATTCACGTGCGGTGTTCCGATACCAACTGTTACATGCCCAGTTGGGCGATGTATGTATAGCCAAGGATCCGCTATGTGATAAAAAAGACTGAATGGACAATGCGATGTTAGTGGAATCTCAACAAGCAATGTACATCCTGATGCATACAAAATGGCACCTTGTAGCGCTGTGGAAGACTTAGATATAAGATCTGACCTGACCGGGACTGACCTCTCTCACTGAAATGGTTTTCACCTTTTAGCAGTAGCAGATGCAGTACCCAGGGTTCGATCCCTAGACCTCGCCCTACCCATGTACAGTATTTGTGTAGACCCCGAGAGTTGAACCTGTGACCTGTGTATCCGTAGACAGTTGGTAGGTCTGCCGTAGGTCCATAGGTAGCAGGGGTTCGATCTGTAGATCTATAGAGTAGAAGTCTTAGCAAGTTCCAGAAGTCTAGCTGTAGTCCTTCTAGAAGGTCAGCAAGTGGGCAAGTGGTCAAGTGGCGAGGCAAGTGGTGGACTAAACTGCAGT